CTGGGATATGAGATTTGGCCATTTTGGTTAGGCTCAACTCCAGTTTTACAGATTCTAAAAATATAACCACCTGAACATGTCATTTTCTTTCATAAGTTGTCACCTTAATTTCCTTTAAAGACATGAAGCTTTTTAATTGTGGGGTTAAATTCCGTGTCATGAATAAGCAGCTCAAGTCTGACACATGAAAAAAAATACAGGTCTCAACAGTAACAAACATAAGTGTTTCCAAAAATTTTTAATAGAGGTTTCTTAAACCAGCAATCAGCCAATTCTTCATCTTCTTGGGGAGTGAAACTGGATACCAGAGAACCATAATTATTTCACCTTTTTACTGCATCTGCATGTCAAATGCTGCTTACTACTCAGCTTTTTGGTAAGGTACAGAAACAGAATATTTTGCACTCTGTAAATGATGGCCAGGTATGACCATGTTTTCTGTTTCTTTGCCTTGTTATTCCCTCAAAATATTTGAATTTTAATTACTCTTAGATACTCTTTTCCTTCCTACATGTGACAACACGGCACAATTAAAGTATTTCTATGTGGGACCCAAATCTTAGCTGCTGTCCCCAAAATAAATGATTCTATAATGGGGTAGCAAAGGAAAGAGCAGTAATTTACATGAAGATATTGACATTAAAGACAATTCCATAATTAAATATACATATCAACTTTATTCAGAACTGCAGTTTTCCGGACCAACTGAAGCCAACTTTCCGTTTCCTTTTACTGAGAGAATAAAACATTTCCTCAACCTATATTCATGTAAGTGATGCTCAACTCTGTCTATCCAAATGGTCTACCTTAATATACGTCATATCAGCATTAAGTGCTTAATATAATACAGGCTAAAAATCTATGTTCTCTCAGATGGACCATTATATTCATTAAATGTTAATGGATGTTTCATCTATAAATGTATTCCATCTCATTTTTCTAGCAACATTCATAACACAAATCAGCCAATATTAGGAGCTATAAATCATAAATTTAGATTTGAAATAACTGCTGTGAAACTCCCTAGTTATAAATTATTTTTATAAAGACATTCAGTAAAGTAGGTAGGCTCTCAGAGGAAGATGGGATTATTTTTAAAAAGACGCATTTTCATCGAAACTAGCATTTCTCAAAGTGGGAAAAGCTGCTAGCAGACCCGCACTGCTTTGTTTACCTAAAGGGTCCATAACCATGGAGCCTTGTGGCTCCCATTGGCTCTGGTTCACCATTTCCCACCAAAAGGAGCCATGAGAAGTGGCATGGCCTGGGCTGCCGCTTCCCACAGCTCCTCTTAGCTTGAAATGGCAAACCCAAACGAATGGGAGCTGCAAGGCTCTGTGGCTATGGAACTATAGGAAGCCCAGGTCTGCTAGTAGCTGTCCTAAAGTGGGTCAGAGCCCACTTTGAGAAACACTGATCTAAACTATGCAGTATGTACCCTGTAAACAAGACTGTTTCAAGGTTATATAGCCCCCCTCTAAACATCAAAACATTCAGAACCATGAATCTTTCAGAAGTTACTGAAAATTATCCTACCTATTGAAGGATACTGGAGAGCTGTGAAGTGGGAGCATCTCTACAATCGATGGTTACTATTTTACAAACTGTAAAATTAACCTGTGGAACTCACTACCACAAGCCAATGTTAAGGCCAAGACTTTAGCAGACTTCCAAAATGGATCAGACATTTATTTGAATAATAAAACTCACAATCAGATAGGATTAAAAACTATGACAGACCAAAAAACACTCAAAAGCCACATATCTCAGAAAATAAGCACTGACTGCTGGGGTTATACAGAAACTTCCCCAAAATATGTGCTATTTGATATTTGTCCATTGCAGGATTTCTTGCTTCTTCGTCTGAATCACGTGGAACTGGCCAGATATAGGATACTGCTCTAAATGAATCACTAGCTTGATTTGATATGAAATCCAAATTTCCACATAGTTTGGGTTCAGGGTTTTGGTTCATTCCATGAGAAAGCTATAGGCCAACCACAAAGTTAACCAGACCTTCACTCAAAATTCAGTGGTGATCATATCTGAGGCTATGCTTTAGTCCCATTTATGATTTTGACTTTGTTCAAAGCAGGAAACAAAACATGTTGTAAGAGACAGTGTCTTGATCTTTCAAAAGCAATTAAATTTCAGTAAATATATGCGCATAGAACAACATGTGGTCTGACCAGTTAGCAACATGTATCTACACTATTCCAAAGCAAACTGTTTCTCTTCATAAAGAAAGGCTGTATGAAACTGCATATGCCCTCTTTCTTGAAGAATGTTACAACTGTGAAGTTTATTTCACAATCTGAGGATATCAAAACAATATTTATAAAATCTCTACTCAACCACTCCAGGCATTGTGCAGTGCTATAACTTCACTATGAAGTACAGTAAAAACATGGTATTAAAGAACTCTCAAAATTCAAGGGAGTCAAAAAATAAGACTAAAAATTGGGAAAATATGCAGGAAGAAGATTAGAACCATGGGGACAATGGTAGTCATCATAAATAACTTCTCTGAAAAGAAAAAAATATTTTAAGTGGGTGTTATGAACTCAGACAATGAAGAATGAGTTATATTTATTATGCACCTGCCACCTTACAGGTGGAATCCCTAAAAGGCAGATTGCATAAGAGTGCAAATAGACATCAGGCCAAGTTTTGAAAGAGTGCGTACGTAGGCTAGGTCTATACCACAGAGGGATTTAAAAATCAACAGTAACAACTTATATTCCATTTGCCACTTTATAATGTAGAGGACACAAAGTAGGTGTAATAGGACTGCAATTGTTTAACCCCATGAGAAAACATGCTGCTCCACTCTTAATAATCTGCAAGCAAGAGATTCATTACTGAACACCCTGATAAGAAGCAACTGAGATATCCTCTGAAAAAGGAATGAATTGCTGTTGAGAACTTGTTATGAGACGTACAAGTGTGTGGTCTGTGCAAACCATGTGGAAAAACAGCTTTCTATCATCTCATGCAAATGGGAGCTAAGCTGTGGAAAGGACATGGTCACATATGATGCCAAATTTCTTAATGTGACTCACTATTTTAAAGAGACAAGGTGATATTTTTTATTGGGTAAACTTTTTATTGAACAAAAAGGATAAGCTTTGGAGCTACACAGAGCTCTTCAAAAGAAGAGCTTTACATAGCTCAAAAGCTTATTTTTCATAAAAAGGAGTTGGTCCAATAAAAGATATTCTCTCTCTCTCACCTTGACACTCTAATATGTTGGGACCAACACCACTACAACATTGCTATTTTGAAACCATTTTTTAAATACCCACCCAGCACTGGATATTCGCAAACTCTTAGCTACAGTTAACAGATGTGAGGACTGTGACATAGGGAGTGATGGCAAAGATACTTTGTACAGCTGGTATGGAAGCTATAACTGTGACACAATAGGAAATTGCTTTCTATATACTCTGAAGTAATGGAGGAGGAGAAGGACCTCGGAGTCCTGGTTGATTATAGAATGACTATGAGCCGCCATTGTGACATGGCCGTGAAAAAGGCTAATATGATCTTGGGATGTATTAGGCGAGGTATTTCCAGTAGGGATAAGGAGGTGTTAGTGCCATTACACAAGGCATTGGTGAGACCCCATTTGGAATACTGTGTGCAGTTCTGGTCTCCCATGTGTAAGAAGGATGAATTCAAACTAGAACAGGTACAAAGAAGTGCCACTAGGATGATCCAAGGAATAGAAAACCTGTCTTATGAAAGGAGACTCAAGGAGCTTGACTTGTTTACTTTAACCAAAAGAAGGCTGAGGGGGGACATGATTGCACTTTTTAAATATATTAGAGGGATAAATACCAGGGAGGGAGAGGAATTATTTAAGTTTAATACCAACGTGGACACAAGAACAAACGGATATAAGCTGGCTAGTAGGAAGTTTAGACTTGAGATTAGATGAAGGTTTCTAACCATTAGAGGAGTGAGGATTGGTCCTGCCTAGAGCAGGGGGCTGGACTTGATGACCTTCTGATGTCTCTTCCAGTTCTATGATTCTATGATAAGGGGATGGTTTGATGAGATAACATGATCTTGGTAACTAATTGACCATTCATTATCAGTGGGAAATAGGTCAATGGAGGGATGATAGGAGTTACTATAGAGAACTTTCTGGGTGTCTGGCTGATGAGTCTTGCCCACATGCTCAGGGGTTAGCTGATCGCCATATTTGGGGTCAGGAAGGAATTTTCCTCCAGGGTAGATTGGCAGAGGCCCTGGAGGTTTTTCGCCTTCCTCTGTAGCATGGAGTACAGATCACAGCTAGAGGATTCTCTGCATCTTGGGGTCTTCAAAGTATTTGAAGGCTTCAATATCTGAGATATAGGTGAGAGGATTATTCTAGGAGGGGTGGTTGAGATTTTGTGGCCTGCACTGTGCAGGGGTCAGACTAGATAATCATAATGGTCCCTTCTGACCTTAAAGTCTATGAGTCTATGAAGCAAAAGAGCAATTCTTTATCTTACATGAGCTATACTACTATACTATTACGTAGTATACTATTGTACTATAATCTAATTTGAGAAGGAAACCTGGGAGCCTCATTTAGTTAATATTTACTCCTGAGCCATTTACTATTATTATTACTTTTACTATTACAGGACAGCTGTGTCTAGACTGGCAAGTTTTTCCGGAAAATCAACTGCTTTTCCGGAAAAACTTGCCAGCTGTCTACACTGGCCGCTTGAATTTCCGGAAAAGCACTGACGATCTCATGTAAGATCGTCAGTGCTTTTCTGGAAATACTATGCTGCTCCCGTTTGGGCAAAAGTCTTTTTCCGAAAGACTTTTGCGCAAAAGGGCCAGTGTAGACAGCACAATACTGTTTTCCGCAAAAATGCCCCAATTGCAAAAATGGCGATCGGGGCTTTTTTGCGGAAAAGCGCATCTAGATTGGCCATGGACGCTTTTCCGCAAAAAGTGCTTTTGCGGAAAAGCGTCCTTCCAATCTAGACGCTCTTTTCTGAAAATGCTTTTAACAGAAAACTTTTCCGTTAAAAGCATTTCTGGAAAATCATGCCACTGTAGACGTAGCCGACATGTGCCCTTCAGTGCAGACTAGAGGGCTGCGCCCCATGCTTACTACACTTGCCAGCCTTCCCTCTCTCTGGCTGCTTTCACAGCTAGAGAGCATGATGTCGTCATTCTGTCGCCCAGCAGGAAAGAGATATGCTGCTTATATGGTAGGCTTTAAATTCTATCACTGCAATCTGTTTATACTGCTATACAGAGGGTAGAACTGATCTCTCTCCAGTCATCACTCTGGTTTAAGCCTTGAGTAATGAATGGACACTTATGTGCAGATCTGTAGGTCCTAGAGATTTCAACTTTATGAAACTGAACTCCTATAAAAAGGAAGCCTTATTAATCTGCCTGCATACACTGACATACCCAGTTCAAGAACTCAGGATACCTATCTAGAAGCTCATGTTAAGTCTACTGTTTTATATGATGAGTAAAGGCCTAATGACAGAGTATAGATGTGGAAGTGAGTGTTAGAATTCAAGAACTAGCTGTGCCACTGATTGCTGCATAGTTATTTGGTAAGTCACTTAGGGTCAATGCTGCTCAATCTTAAACTGGTATAAATTAGAAGTAACTTCCCTGAAGTCAGTTAAGATTAACTCCACTACATTTTTACACTAGCATAAAGGAGTAATAATTATGCTCTTTAATTTCTCTGAGTCTCATTTTCTTTCTTTACAAAAATGGAGATAAGACCTGCCTCGTAGCCATGAGTATTAAATTGATTAATTTACAGAGATTCTTCCTGTAGTCCCTTCTTTAAAACACTGAAGCTGTTTGCACTATTGGGGCATGAAATGAGTGGGAATGTCTTGATTTGACTACAACAAATGAGGTTTCCCAGAGGGGCATAATTACAGTCAGAAACAAAACTGCTCAAACCCTCATTGGCCACACATTCCTGGCATGTCACCCCTTTTCTCAACCATTACACCAGCCCTTAGTAAAACACACGGATGGCCAAACTGAGTGGGAGGAAAAGAAGAAAGTCTGAACCTCTGCACAAATATTAAAGCCTTTTCTTAGGTTTCATAACTATGATAAGTATTACCCTTTTCTCTCCCCAAACCTTTGCTAGATACCTACACCTCCAGATCTCAAGATTTTACAGTCTTGCCTTTTTCTGTGCTCTCTGTCATCTTCAAATCTTGTGAGGTTCCAGAGTTTCCTGGCATGAGAGGTCCAATACATTCTGAAATGCAGGGAGCCTTACAGTTCATTCAGTGTTAAGATAACAGCACGACATTACTCACCAGAGAGAATGTATGGCTTTAATATTATTAGTCACGGATCAGCACCTGGAGACCATAACAGAGGAGAGAATAATCTGAAACTTTCTGAGGAATTTGGAACAAGGTTGGTTCAGATTACAAATGGTGGTTAAAATAAAGTATAAATAGTACAACTAAATCATACAATACACCTCTTTAATATCACACCTGATTATGGAACAGAATCTCTCTTATGTCCTTCAGAATAAAAAAAATAAAATATTAAAAGAGAAAACATTTGCATGTTAAATTCTAAAGAACTACGTTATGGAAGCCCCAATCAGCAGTGCAAGGTTCTGCAACTGTGGAACATACTTACTAGAGATCTGAAATCAGAATTTTTCTGTTGAACATTGTGGGCACTCTCTATGAAGGCCAGATTATTACAGCAGCTGTTGTAAAATCTGGAGGAACAGAAACGAGGTCAGTGGACTTTCTCCAGATTACACTTGCGTAAATGCTAGCAAAATCAACTAAGTTACTCTAAATCTAGATTTATATCAGTGCAAAACTCCAGTGATGTCAGTGGAACTACTCCACATTTTACACGGGCACAAATAAATCAGAATCTTGCCCATAGATAACAGGCTTTGGTGGACAGAAGTGAATAGTTGTGAACATAGAAAGACCTTTATTACTTAAAAGCTTAGTACATATAGAAATCTTAAATCAGAGCAATATTTTAATTCTGATCGGGTTTCGAGTCTGGATGAGTCTATGTAGATCTGAATCAAACAGTTTCAATACTTATTCTACCTTATTCAAACATTTTAGGGAGCCCTTTTGCTCCTTCCTTGCATCAAAGTAAGTTTTATTCTCCTCATTCCCTTCAAAAGGAAGAAGTTACTCACCTTGTGCAGTATCAATGGTTCTTCGAAATGTCTCCCCCCACGGGTGTTCCACTGTGGGTGTTGGGCTCGTCCCAGTGCCGGGGATGAGCCCGACACCCACAGTGGAGCACCCACAGGGACACATACCAGAGAAGAACTCCATCTTCCTTGAACTCTACTACCTCCTTCCCAACAACCAGAGCTCTCTCTCTAAAGCTTTGTTTTACTAGGAAAACAAGTAATTTTTACCATATGTTAACTAACATGTGATAACTAAAACATGGTAAAATACTAGTGTGGACAAAGCAAGTACAGTTCTAATATAGGCTAGCACACTGAGGTAAAAATTTGGCTGTCCCTTAGTTAATGTGGTTAAAAAACCCCCACCTTTTTTCCTAATATGGATCTATCCCAACTCTGCCAAGCCCATCTCTATAATCCCTACCATGGGTGAATGTCCAAATGGGCAATCGCATACACTGTGGCTCGGTGACCTCAGCAGGACCCAGAAGACCTGAGTTCTAATCCCAACTATGCTGCTAATTAGTTGGGTGGTCTTGGGCAAGTTACTTCACTTTTCTCTATCTTTGTTTCTTCCCATCTAATATATTTACACTATAAATGTTTTAGAGCCTCACTATGTATCTGAACATCACCTAGCATTATATCAGCGCTCATCCCCCACATAAACAAATAATCTATCACCCTCAGTACAGTGGTTGTGTAGGAGCTGGTCTGGTCACTTTTTTCAGACTCCAGTGGAAACTTACTATACTTTTAGTCTGAAAAATGACTGAAAAAAGGTTCAGCAAATGTACTTCCTGAGGCTGCTCACCTTACTGAATCAAGTAAGATTTTGTGATATCCTTCCACAGCCAACACAGCTTGAAATCCAGCTGCTTCATGCACTATCAACAGAATTCTTAGTGTAGAGTTGTAACTGCCGAATATTTATTAGTGGAACAGATCTAAGCCACAGGCAAAATGCACCTTGACTCTCAGATTCCAAATGAACCACTAGAAGGTAGAAAACATATTTTTATTTACAAGGTGAACAAACTGGGCTTGAAAATTGTTAAGAAAGAACAATATAAGAAATCTATTGGTCATTTTTACAGGGTCACTTATCAGACCATAACCCCTGGATAGCCATAAGCACAAGCAAAGTACAAAAGCTACTTTGACCCACATTCTCCGTGGGACTCTTGCATGCACACCACACGAGCTCTGTAACATCACAGGAAGGCCAGATAACTTTTCCTAGCAGTGGGAAAGGAAGAGGGGGCAGTGCCATACTGCCTTCAGCAAAGCAAGAGACTACTCAATGCATCAAAGCATTCAGATACCCCCGCAATAAAGGTGGCCTAACAATATCCAAGAATTCCCCAGCACCAGATGAATCCCCGGCAAAACAGTAAGGGCAGCTTTTTGGCAGCACAAAGAACATGGACAAGGAGAGGAGGATCCGGCCTCTTAGCATACGGTGACTAGAGAACATGTTGTGAGCAAAACAGATAGGGAGAATGACCTCGAGAGAAGGAAATAGCCAGAGGAAAGGCTGTTCTTAGGCAGAGCAGCAGGCAGCACGGGAGATAACCAAAGGTGAAAGTAAGCCGGTGTGCTGTGCTGCAGTGAAACAGGACAACTGCAGCACAGTAAGAGACAGGACAACTGGAGGCAAGGCTCTGCATGATGCTGTCACCATGGACTGCACAGCCACAGTGCACCCAGGCTCCAGCCCCAGAGCACGGTCACCCAGTGGCCACACCCTACCCAGCCCTGGAGATCCAGCAGCCGGGCAACATAGTCCCTGCAAACCCAGCCCTAAGGTTCCCCAACCGTGTTCCTTGAGTCCTCATCTCAATCCCCTGCCCCAAGCCCCCCCACACTTCCTAACCACTGCCCTGACTCCAGCACCCCCCACACTCTCCAACAGCCTGCCCTGAGCCTCCCTGCTAGGAGGTTGGAATACAACAGCATGGCTAGGGCTACACTGGCAGCTTCTTGAACAACAACAACTGTTCTTGCGCAAAAACTTGCCGGGTGTCTACACTGCACGCACATTCTTGCGCAAGTACATTTACAGTACAGCGTCGGAAAACAGGGCTTCTTCCGGAAGAGTTATTCCTCTCCCCATGAGGAATAAGCCCTCTTGTGCAAGAGCTCTTCCACAAGAAGACAGTGTAGACAGGCAACGTGAATTCCTTGCTCAAGAATCCCCTATGGCTAAAATGGCCAACAGAGCTTTCTTGCGCAAGAGAGCGTCCACACTGCCATAGACGCTCTTGCACAAAAGCACATGGCAGTGTAGACGTGCTCTTGTGTGGTCACTGTGCCCTGGCAAGCCCTGGGGATCCAGTAGCCCAAGGCCAGGCAGGCAGCACAGTGGCTGCACTCCCAGCCCCAAGCTCCCTCACATACTCCCCCAATCTCCTACCCTGATGCCTGCACCCCTACCCCCTCCACACCCCAGGCTGAGGGGCAACAGCAGCTCCTGTCTGTGGTGGGGCGGGAGGGTCTGAGCTCCCAGGCCTGGCATGAACTGGAACTGAACTGGGCTGCCTGCCCGCCCAGCTCCTAATACACAGCCACAGTGGGGATAGGTCCTGCATCTGGTGTGAGCCAAAACTGAGCCAGCTAAAAAATTGACTGGCTTGGAGGGGGAGGGAAATGTGTGTCGTCTATAGCATTAACCTACAACCTTTTGCTTATTGGTTAATCAGTTAATCGACTACACTATTACATCCCTAATCCAAACCAGGGAGTCCCGGACGAGAGAGATTCAACCTGTATTGAAAAGTATAGACCTACTTAAATATGTTTCAGATGATTTGCAGTATTAGCAACAATTAATACTGAAACAACATTTCTATTAACTGACCTTTTAAAAAATATTTATAGCAGCATTGCTATATAAAGTAATTTGACATATGAGCATGAGAAAGAAAGATTACAACATTGCCAAAAAATTGCACTACTAATATAATTTCCTGCATGCAAATATATTA